CCTTCACTCAGGATAAGTGATGAAAACAAGACTATTAAAAAAAAGTCTCTCATCTGTTCTTCTCAAAAACTACTCTTTTTATTTTCAATTCTCTTCTTCAGGTCTTTTGTATTATAAGTATTTTGGCATGTGCTTTTCATCATAAGGGGAAACTCAAGTGAGCGCTGCAGATTATAAAGATGGAAAAAGGTTTGTCTTGTCCCATAATCCAGATAACAATAACCTCTCTCTTTACTCCTTACCTTGAGGAGTTTTTGCTGTGCCTTCTCTTTTGTCTCTGACAATGGTCCTGTTATACAGTGTATTCTTAGAAGAGACAGACTTTAATTATCAAATGTATTACATCTATACTGAGAAGTAATGCACCAAGTTAAAAAAATAAAAGGTGCTATCAGGAATAAAACTGTAGAAGGTATTAGTCAGTTTACATGAATGAGGCTAGCTAGAACCTCTCCTACTTCTCAACACCCTTCTGTACAAAAATAATTTACAGAAAGTACCTAGCAATAGTGTGTCTGAATTCCCAAAGTTGTCACCTGTTCCTTCTCTCCCATTATATACAATAGAAGCTATTGAAAAAAAAGGCAATTTGACTGATGTAACTGAGACGGTATGTATTTTCCCTGTCTTCATTTGAGAGTGTAGAAATTCCCACTTACTGCTCAGCATTTCAATATAAAGTCTTCTCTCTTCTTCACCTACTAAAGCAGTTAAGAAATAGAAGGTCATAATGAAAAATATTTTTGGCACTCTTCTGCTCTCCTGAGATGCTAACCACCACCCATGAAACAGCTTGTTATCCTTGAGAGTGACCGGAGAAAATCAAGAAGGGAATTAGAATCTGGAATAAAAGTTCTCTGCTTCTTCTGCTCTCCGGAGAGCAAAAGGCAGATTGGGAAAATATAATCTAGCATTTTATGGATAGTGATTACCCAGTTAGGTCTTGTTCTTTGTAATTTCCTTTTAATTCTCTACATTTTTTATACAATGTTCATGTATCCTTGATATATTTAAGCACCTTACTTAAAAGACTTTACTTTCTTCCAGTGCTTTTTTCCTATATCTTTTTCTCTGTTGTTGAGTTAGATGAATTCTTACAGTTAATGGAACCGGAGCTTCTTCAAAACCTGGATGTTTAAACTGTCAAAATTCTCTTATTTTGTACTGCTGATGCCTTCTCTACTCCTGCTCGTGTAAGAACAAAACATGCATTATATGTGACTAATAAAATTTGGGAACATTTAGTTTAAAAATTCGGTACCTTATATTAAAATTTTATATTAAAAGCAGATTGGGCTACTGAATCATCCAGCTAATGTTTGATAAAAAAAGTAAGATTAAGGTAAAATTCTCTTTCAAATCCTGTTCCTGTCATGATTATCCATAAAAACATGGTTTCAAGCATAAAACAAGAATCTTCACAAAATGAAGCTTAGTGCTATCAAACAGGGAAGCTTCTGGCCCTTCAGATTGATTGACATTTTTTGGAAAGTATCATTTTGCCATGATTTTTGTGCTAAAATGATAAAATATCATATCAATGAAACAAAGCGTATAATGCTTTATGTAAAACAACAAAAAAGAAAATCTCTGAGATAAAAAATAGAAATCCAAAACCTCTTTGTTATGTTGAATTTAGAGAATTTGTGGGCTTTATTTTGCTTTTTTTACAGGCTCATCCTCTGTAATTATTACTGGAGATTCTAAAGAGTGAAGCTGGCTCATTGTAAGTTTTATAGCCCTTACTTCTAAATCAGAAAGTTTTACAAAGTGCACAAAAAATTAAAAATGGCCAGCCAAGGCTTTGAAAGAATATCTATTCAGTGCTTCTTAAGCCAGCATGGAATTTTCTTTGGCTACTGTTTAAGTGAAAGATTGTGATATTTTGAAACCATACGTTACATTTCAACAAGAAAATACCACCTAGAAAATACAATTTTCATTAATCTTAGGAACATAGTATGACAACTGAAGTTTCAGCCCCTTCTATCTGAAAAACTGAGCAAAAGTCAGCATTTAAAATAGAAAGTTATTATGAATTTACATGTCATTAAAAATCATAAGACTGCTTTGTCCTTCAACATCCTTAACCAAGAGCATAAAAGTGATTGCAAAACAGTGGGTTAGCTGTCATAATCATCTCTGACTAAACTAGAAACAAAAGGTGCAGATGAGTACAGACCATTCTTCAAAGACACACAAGTACATGGCAAAGTAAATAAACTGCAGCTGCACCTCTTGGCTCCCTGTTCTGCTTTCTATTCCATACATGAACTTACTATATGATCCCATTAAATAAGGACTTTATGTACTTAACTTCTTCAGCAGTGCAGTGGATGTACCCTTACTATCCTTGTACCATAGCCAGGAGAAAAACATTACAAGTATGTGACCAAAATAACAATGTTCAAATGAAAAGGAAAACATTTCCACCTTCTCTGGAACTTCGCCTTCATTGTCACTCAATCTCCCCTGCTGACTTCAGCTAAATTGGGACTGGTTTTGCAAGGCCATGGCCCTTCCCACTCCTAGAAGCTTTGGAAGAAGTTGTGTTTAACTGGACTTAGGTCATTTCCTTTGCTTGTGTAACAGTTCCACCCATGACAACCAACAATAATAAGCAGTAAGATTTTAAAGGGGCCCAAAGAATTTAGTTGCATAAGTCCAACTGAAATTTAATAGAAACTAACCACCTACCTCCCTTCAGCTGCATAGGAACTTTTTCACGGTTTTTAAGATACACTAAATACGGTGGAAGAAGGGGAAATCCAGGGAGTCTAGCGTAAAAAAAAACCCACCCCAAAATGGCAAATGTTTAGACTTAAATCTCTCCTTTTTGTTTTTCTGTCCCAATTTCAAACACAAAATTATTTGTAGAACTAAAGCAAGATACCACACTGCAGAGAGAAAACATTTATTTCAAAATGGCAGTTTTCCTGGGAATTTTTTTTAAGGGTGGAATGTAGAATTTCTTGTTCCTTCAGTACAACAGCTGTCAATCATATTATGTCCTAGATATGCATCTATGCCATTTGCACTCCTCACAAACCTTGGTGATCTCCTCTTGTTTGGAAGTCAAAGGAAGTTACCAAAGTTCAATGAAAGCTGCTATCAGTCAAACTTCTTGTTCCAATAGATACTGTTCATATTCAAAAATTTTGGCCATCGAAATATTGTCAGGCCAATTTACTTGAAAGTGAGTTATTTCAGTGCTCATATCTCCACAAGAGAACCCAGGTAGCATTAATTCTCAGTTTTTTTCAGAATGCGAATAGGGTGGAATTACTGCCATTAACACTCAGAGCTTCAAACTCACTGTTCCCACCATACTTAATAAAACTATTCAAAATTTAAAATATAAGCAGAACATGTTCCATAATTTAAGACTGTATTTTTACTGAAATGAAACTTGTTTTTAAGCCTTTTCTTATTTTTTCTCTCACATTTGACTCTCATAGTTTGTGGTACAATTTTTTTGTTCCCACTATACTTAATAAAACTGTTGAAAATTTAAAATATAAACAGAACAACATGTTCCGTAATAAAGACTATTTTTTCTCAAATGAAATTTGTTTTTAAGACTTTCCTTCTTTCTTCTCTCTCCTTTGACTCTCATGGTTTGTAGAGCAATATTTTTAAAACGAACAATGTAATTGTGTTCAGGGTCTGTTACGCACACCACAGCACAGACTCCAAGGGCTTCACATTCATAAATCCTAGTGAAGTAGATGAGAGCAGAACCATTAGCATCCAGTGGGATCAGGACAAGAGTAAGGCAATATTCAAAAAATATTAAAAAGCAAGGAAAAAAAAACAAATGCCAACACTCCTTTCTTTTAATTATAATTCTTCTTGCAATCATGAACAATTAAAATGCAGTGATTTCCATACAGATGCTCATGTTTCACCTAGCTTGTAACCAGAAATTCCTTTGAGAAATTTTAGCAAGACTCATTGGATATAATTCACTGAAAAACTGTAGCCTAATTAAGAAATGAAAGAGCAGCAATCTATTAATACATAGTTCTTTTAAGATATAGCTAATGCTACACTAGCTAAGTTATAAGTTGCTACACATCTATAGGGGAACAAACATAAAATTATCACAGTGCTAACTTGGGTGGACAGCCTACAATTTCTGACTATGTTAGATAGTATTAGTGAAAGAAGAAATTGCAAATGAAATGACATTTAGGGTCACATGCAATAATTTAAGAGCAGCTTCAGACCTTTCCCAGCAAATCCTTAAGTAGTCAGAATTCTTAACAACTTCAACTACCAGTTCTAGTGAAAGTCTGTGTCATATTTACCTTTCTCTCGTCTTCCTGCAAAAATCATTTCACATGCTGATAGACCAAAGTTATCAGGTCCTTCTCTTTCACAGGAATGTTTCCTTTACTTGCAGTTTGTGTATTTCAATTGTAAGCATGAGTTTGTATACTTTTTAGTCAAAGGTTTTGAAAATTCAGTGTCACAAAGAAATGCTATCAAATGGAAAGACGGTGGCTAACTAGAAAACCGCACTGAAGAACATCTGCATTTTAGAAGTCACCTCTGCGCTCAGTAGGACAGGTTTTCAGGTAGTGTAAATCTGAACAGCTCTATCACAGTTGCAACAATATCTTACACAAGATGAAAATCTGAGGGCGCTTTTGTCAGAGAGTGCAAACGTTCATATTGCAAAGAATGAAATGTTCATATTTTTAATATATCCTCAGCAAAGACTTAGTAGCAGCGATCTTCAAAGCTTCCTTGCAAACCCTCCCCAAAATGTTGAAATATGTGAAATAAAATACTATGCAGTAGATGACAGGAAAAATAGCTACTTTTTGTGTTCTTCTCCTCCCTTCTCACAACTCTCAATTTATGTAGGGTGACTCATACACGGTGATCCAGAAGAGTTCCCCTTTTTTAGAACTAGCAACACTGGCCATCTTTAAAAATACGGTTAATGAAAGTGTGTTTTCAGAGCATGAACGTTCTTCCAGAAATGTACTTACCTCTTCCAGAGCAAAGTAAATTAGAATTTCCTTGGCATTTCTTAGCACTTTCCTCAATTGACAAAGGACAGGATCGTGAGTGTTCGCACTTCTTCCCGGTCCATCCTTCTTTACAGTCGCACCTTCCGCAATTACATTGTCCGTGACCTTTACAATTAAAGATTGGCCATTATACTGCTGATAGGTATTAAAACCTCATGATCATATGAACTTTATCTAATTTATGGTTTCATTAAATTGTTAGATTGGCAAAAAATATAACCAGCTCACTATATATATTTTTTGCCTGACAATGACTATCACTCCGTTTGAGCTATATTTCCATTCAGCTTTTTTCTTCTTAAAGGATATTTTGCCAAGCTTCTCATGCAAAAGGCTGGGATGGAGGCTACAGATGTGCATTTTCTCACTGCCTGGAGAAGTGGGGCTATCATTAAAAATACTGACCTTTGTTTTCTGTTTTTTTTCTACAACTGCTGCAGCATGTTCTCTAAGTAAGGTACATATACCATCTTTTATGCACTTGCAATCAATATGATCCATTAGACAAACACAATGTCACACCAATTCCTAGTGTCAAGCTAGTGTATTCTACTAAATAGTGATGTGTAAATCATAAAATGCTGAGCATAATCAGTTCTTTTCTCCATAGGGCAGTAGGTTGTGGTTTTAAGAGCTCACCAGTTAACTTGACTCTTCCTGACCATGCCTGAAAATAGCAACATAAGTTGCATAAGTCCAACTTTCACTGTACAAGTTCAAGTGAGGAAAAGTAACTGGACTCAATAGAAGCTTTTGGGGGAAGTTTCTTTAAAAAAATGTGACAGACAAGAATTTAGGGATGGAAACCCCCAAAGAACTTAACCTGGAAATCCAATCAAATAATCTATTTCCTTTATCTGAATCGTAACATATCTAGACCAAGGAAATTGAAGCTAGTTTCCTAGATCCCTTTACCATAAGCTTAATGTTCTTTGCATGAAGCAGTGGGATTCTAACCACAAATGTTCTTTAAACTGGGAGAAGAAAGCCTGAGCATCAGCAAAATCGTTTCTTACCACAAAAACAAATATTTATTTTATGAGATTAGACAGAAAGTTAGATGTTCTCTTATAAGCTTCACATAGTCATCATTCACAGACACAGGACCCAAAGCGTTGCTGTGCTATGCACCTGCCTATTCAGTTTCTTCCTGAAAACCATAGCAACACACATTTTGTAGCGCTCTCTAGATATATTTGTGTTTTAACACTGGCTCATTTTGTATGCCTAAAACATATGCACAAGGAGAAAATGGGAGGAAGCAAGCATTACAGAAGTTATCAGAGTAGTTGCTAGATTACCCATCTCATTAAGTGCACAAGAATGACTGTGCTTTACATTAGTTATCTGTTTTCCTTGAAAAGTGTTAGAGGCCTCCTCTTCTGTCCCTTGCTCTCATGTGTACCTGCTGACAGGTTGAGAATGGGACATATTGTCTCTGCCCCACATAGATACCTGTGAGAGGATGCTGTTCTGTTACATATCATCTTTGCTAGAGCCACAGCAAATGAGCTAATGAAACAAAAACCCTTGTCCTACTATGAGAAGGAATTTCTGTACGGAAGCTTTTTTTTCTTCCCATGTCAGGTCATTAAAGTTATTCTCTTTAAAGAAAGAGAAGCCCTTTATGTTGTGAACTGAACATTTCTGGAAGAAAATCGTTTAGATACTGAACAGTACTTCAGATCTTAAAAGAAGGCACCCAGTCACCAATATGAGGTACTGCAAATACAGCCACCCTCAAGCAATACAAAGCTTCACGAGGGAGCTGCCATTGTGGGATGTTAAGTCCTCACAGTTCACAGCAGGGCTGCCAATTCTTATCCTTTGCAGTTTATGAAATAATCATAGCGTTTTATTAAATTACAGTAAAATTCTTGTCGGTAAACATGACTTTCCATCATTTCAATCCAATAATCTGGACAATGAGGTTTCGTGCCTCTACCTATTAGGCAGGCAAAACAAGAAAGGAAAAGCTTTGCATCAGCTCAGTTTGATGTAGCGCTAAGCAGAGTAGGGTGATTTTCTCTAATCTGAATAATCCCTCCTGGATTCATCTGAAAATTAATTTATAAATAATTGTTAAAACCTGAAAAAGATGAGGATGTTTTGCAGATACACCTAACACCTGCATACACTTTGCACATTGAATACATTTAGTTCACAGAAAGCAATAAATAGTCTCTCCAGTTAAAATTCTGCTAGTGAATCCTTGATTTAATTGCCAATTCTGCCCATCTACCACAACAAACCAAGATTAGCACTGATGCATCTTACTCATTTTTGAACAGGACTAAACCACAGGGCTATAAGACATTGTTCACAGTGGTCCAGGTGAAAATGTGGAGAGCTTTGCACAATCTATTTTAAGAATGTAAACTGAGATGGCCAACTAAGCCTAAATTAGGCTTCTGTTCTGACTGCTATGGGGAAGGGAGAAGAATTAGAAGAGGTACCCAGCTCCTGTGATTAGACAGAAAAGATAAGCTATATTTAAACATCAGTTTCAGTTACATGAAGCAAGTCATACGAGTACTGCCTTCTGTATCTATAGTAAAGTATACTCAATTGCAGTTATGTCTATGTAATAAATTACACAATCACAGTCCCCAATCCACTGTCAAATGCCTATATCTTTCCCCCCCTTCCTTGTCCCCGCCCCACTGGCAATTCTTTACAGTCTTTTCTGCTTTCTTACAATCATTACAGCCTTGGGTGGCAGCAGCAACGGCAACAACATCTAGGAAAGAGGCAGTTCCTGCCCTGTTTCAGTGATACAGGATTACTCTAGGTGCCACAGGTTTGCTTTAATCTAACTTGGTATAAAACTCTTGCATTCACCCTTAACTATAGCACACATTTACCACATTTCTTTTTAGGTTTGTGTTCCTTAGCTGATGCTGACATTTTGATCAGTCCCAGAGTGCTAGAATCATGTTCAGCAAAATAGTAATAGCTTCAAAAATTGTCAGCATCCCAAATTCAATCCTCCTGCTGCTCTCATGACTGCAGTTCTACATCCCTCCAGGATATTAATCAAATGCGCCTCTGTAACCATTTGGAGGTGGTCAAAATGGGAGCAAGAAAATGAGTCAGTAAAAGTTTTCAGAAATGATTCTTCTTCTTTTTCATTTTGATTAGCTCTTGAATCATCAACATTTTTCAAAAAAATGCGGCTGAGTAACCTGTCACATCTACATCAGGTGAAGAACAAGGGACTAAGAATTGTACGTATCATGTTTGTTCCAGCTTTTTGCCCTATTCCAGGAGCCTCCTATAACCTTTCTATGTGGGATCAACCATGCTAGTAAGAGGCGAAGAACATACCACTTGTCAGGCATTTTTCATTATTTTCCTTGACGTGGCTACATTCTCTCTGTTACTAATTAGGTCAGATCAAACTTCTGTGGGAGATTGTAGTATTAGTGTTGACAGCCTGTAATCTATCAAGCCCCTTTGAAATCACCTTCACTTGTTTTTGCAAAGCTCCTGTGTGCACAAATTGCATGCTGTGTATTGATCGAAGTCCTCTTCTCATGCCCAGCCTTATAATCTTTACCAGTAACTATACAAAATTGTAATCAAGATCTTCCTCAGAATCTCAACTGATGTTAGTGAATACATGGAGCATCAGTTCAAATATCCTGAATTCCTTGGATGGACCATAACTCACTGGAATATAATGCTCTGAAGTAGGAGTGGAAGAAAAAAGGAAGGTAAAAGTGTGTAAGAGGTACAATTAGTGGTGTTTAGCTGGACTGCATATTCCTTTCTTTGACATACTGACATTCCACTTGTTCTTAGCTCAATTGGTATTCTCACAGTACTGTCTTCCATTAATGCTAATACAGATTTCCTTCAATTTCTTTCTGTTGCTTCTCTCTCTGCCATATAATATGAAGTAACAAATACCATATGAGATAATAAATTTTCAGATTTAAATATGTTCAAGGTTGGATATCTATATTTCAGAGTTTCAACCATTCTTCAGCCTATGTTAGGCTACACAAAATACAATAGTATTAGAAATGAAGTGGGCACTTACAAATAGTTCATTTTTAAAGAGGTTAGATGAATAGAAAAAAAGGATATATTTTTAAGAAAGATATAGAATTGGAAATAATGCTTTGATTTATTTTTACAAAATTATGTTTTTAAATTTAAAAATGTTAATTTAAAAAATCTGTCCATTCATCTGACAAAAGGCATCTGAACACAGTCTTGGGCAACGTACTGTAGGTGACCCTGCTTGAGCGGGCGGGTTGGACTAGATGACCTCCAGAGGTCCCTTCCAACCTCAACCATTCTGTGGTTCTGTGATTCTGTGATCTGAAAAAGCAGCTAAAGCTGATACTGTTTTAAGCTTGGGAAAACAAGAATTGGAGTACTAAGGAAGGGCAAGATCAGATCAGCTGGATGCTTCTGTTTTAAAACTGTACATAAATTCCTTTTACATGCTTTCCTCACCTGAACAGAAGTCATCAGAGTATCTATCATACACTGCTTTGCAGTTTCTTTCATCACACTCACAAGTATCTCCATGAATATCTCCCCAGTCACCAGTTGGGTCCACATCATGGCATGTGCATTCACCACATACACATGTGCCTAGAGTAGAGAAAATAAAAGAGACAGAGACAGAAAGAAGATTAACCAAGCGATTTATACCAATAATAGTTTGATTACAGGAATGTACACTTGAGATTATTCTGCTCTCATAGGAGAGCAGTGTTAACCATGAACATATGCTCATCTTCTACAATTTAAAACATTTCACAATTATTTAGTAGTAATACCTTTCACAAGCGAGTTGGCTTCTTGTTCAAGTTTCTTTTTGCTGTTGAGTCCTATTAGGAGTCAACAGAAAAATGTAGTGCACAGACAGTCATGAATCTTCAGCATCAACAATAATTTGGGCTGACACTAGGGACAACAAAAATCAATCCCTTTTAAATGACTTGGGCACAGTGGATAATTAATGACTGCCAAAGCATAAACATTTAAACTAGAAGGAAGTTCAAATTATAACCCCGCTGAAAATGACTAGGGGGTGTTCGCTAACCTAACAAGAACATCAGCAAAGCTCTACATGAAAACAATGCTATTTTCAATTTGCCCAAATCAATACTGAGAGCCACACCCAGCTGTTTACACTAGAAAGGGAAATGTGATATATGACTGAGGTATTTCTTTGGCACAATCTTACTGATGCACAGAGAACATATGTCCTACCCTCTTAGGAAGAGTCCGCATAAAAAAGACAGGTTCCTTATTCAGAAATCCAAATGTGCTTGCCAGATAGCCCTGCACCTCAGAAAAAGTGACTTTTTTTGGCTTCTTCCTCAGTGCCATACACTCATTGCTTTTTCAGAGAGGCCAACAGATAAAAAGAAGTAGCCTAACCTCTCAGATGCATGCATTCCATTCCCCGGACAGTAGCTTCGCTTGTCTGCTATTCCACCAAATACTTCATTGTCTTGTCCAGATTACTCTGAACAATATAATGCAATTGAGAACAGAATAGGGTGACTAACTACTGCATATAGGTAGGGACATATTCTCTAAAAGGAGAAGGGCTACGCAACTGTGCATACATGACTCCTCTACATGAAGCAGGAACAGCTGTTGCCCTATGTGGTACTAAAGCCACCAAAATAGCCCTCAAGAAATTTGCACTGGACTATTGACAATTTTACAATTAAGTGACATCACTGATGGAGAAAAAAACACAGAAAATTAGGAAATACCTCTGGACAGCAATTTATCATCCTTTCCTTTCCCCCAGAAATGACTTTAAAATGAATTTGGAACATCTGCCCTGGATACTAGAATGCATATCAACAACTCACCAAAACTGAAAAAATCTAAAGGTTCGCATGTGATCTTAGCTAGTTGACTAGACAGCTGGTGGAGAGAGACAGACAATTCATCCATCTTGCCATTGAGGGAGGCTAGACAGCAAGTTTAGCCTAGATATTTAACTTCTTGAAGGCTCAAGTCTGACAAGATGAATTCCACCTGTACCACAAGATGTGTAAACATGGGAAACTGGGTAAATAGGAGTAAAGAGAGTAGAAAAACTTTGCTGGAAAGCAATCTTATGTAGTCAGAAGACTACAAAGAGTTTATTTGGATAAAATCACAAAGATATGGAAAGCTAGAAGTACTTATAGAAGTATCCCATGAACATATGTTTGTATAGGAGTTTGTAGCTATTCAGAGTATCAGCTATACTATTTATCCTCATCTCCCCAGTTATAATATGAATTTAAAGAAATACTTGATTGATAAAATTTCAAAATCTCTTTGACAAGAAATTACTTTCTCAGTGGAAACAAAACATCAGATCTGGCACATTTTATTTCCAGAATTACAGAAACGTCTTTACTGTTAATGTCCCAAGACTAAATGAGCCTACCCAATCTCCATATTTGAGCTAATCTTTCATTTTCCCCATAATTAAGATAAGGGAGTTTTCTAAATGCTCTCAAGATAATTAGATGTTCACACTATAGCAGGTTTTGTCAGTAGTGATGTTTTTCAGAGAGGTATCTATGAGACTTGAACTCATATTCTACTATAATAATTCTAGACTACCGCCAAAAAAGTAACATGCTCTCTTAACTCTTTGTTCATTGAAGCCAGATATGGCAGCTACTAAATACTAATCTTATTTTTCTACTATTTTTTTTTCAAAGTGATAAAATTAAACAGAAATATTGGGTGCAATTCGAGTTCTGGGGCTTTATGGAATATATATATATATATATATGTGTGTGTGTGTGTGTGTGTGTGTGTTTAATTAAAAACATTATGCTAAGTGTATTTGTCCAGCTCTGCATATATGCCGCAACATTGTTACTGAACGCTTAGCTGTTCTTCCAAGTTACAGTGGAAATGATCTTTGTGTTTTCATTTCCCTATCCAGTTGTCAGTCTTCGGTCTTCTTTAGGAGTAAATCCACGTACAGTCATGTTGGCTTTACAAAATCCATCCATCCAAAGTCAAGAATCTGTTAATATTTAATTTTGCAGGACGGGTGTCTCACCACAGCAGATGTACTGATAAATTATCCTACTCAGTCTTACTACAAAAACGAGGAATGAGGACAGCTTTCAATTCTCAGGTCAGTTTTATCTAAAAATGGGTGCGGTTGTGTATATGTAAGTTTATAAAGAAACACAGGTATCCACTCACTCATTTAGAAATGTATAACCAGCTTTGAAACAAATGAAAACAAACTAAAAATTATCAGCAAACTCATGGCCTACATCTTAGTGCAGAAAATATATATTGTAAAATAAAAGCAAAATATATAAATTTGTGGAGAAGAAATGTGTGAATGACACACCTCTGTTGCTGCAGATTTTGCCATCTGGAGATGTGCATCTTTTCTTGATCTCCCAAGGGGTGATGTCACACTGGAATTCACATTTATCTCCATGCCAACCAGCCTCACAGTAGCAGTTTCCACAGTAACACTTTCCATGGCCTTAACCCAAAACAAATTTTATACAGTGAGAAAGAGACAAGTTTTTAAAAAGCATTAACAGTTTAACCATTTTGAACATTTTTTCTTCTAAAATCTTTTAGTGCTAGGCTCAGAATAGAAGCAATTTATAGCCTGCATTTCTACATAAAATAAGACAAAGGATATTTGAATTATACCTTTCCCCAAATCTCTTTCATATAATGTTTTCATTCAACCATGCTTCTGCAGTAAATAAGCACTATGAAAATGACATAACCATTTTTATATTTCTAAGCTTCATTTTTGAACCTTTATAGGTAACTTTAGAAGATAGTAAATGTAATAGCTAAAAGTTAAGCACAACTTTGGATACTGAGGTGGGACACATCTTCCACAGTACTGGGCACATCTAACAAAGTACCATGTATTCTCAACCCCCCAGATAATTCCAGAAGAGGTACCTTATTTATAGCAAACTGTCTACATCGTTTTTAACTTCTGTTGTTATCTATTAAGAAGATTTTTGAATGCAGATAAATCAGTTCATGAAAAATAAGATTTGGTAAAATTAAGTTTTTAGAAATTCATTTAACAAATCATACGTCTCCTGAAAAGATACTTGGGTCATCTGAGGCTTGATGAAACCAGCTTCTACATATTCCAATCCGTTAAGGTACTTCCGCCACGTGCTTCAATGGCACAAAGTATCTAAATTAAGTAACTGCCACCCTTACTAACCTTAAAGCTGGAAGTTCATTTCCTTACTAGAAGGAGCCAGGATCGAGTCAGGATCTTGTCCTTTTTTCACTCTAGGGTGTATGTTAACCTTGGTGGACCTGGTTGTCTCTATGAGAATGTAGTCAACTGGTAGCCTTGTCGAGAGTGCAAATTTAGAACTGTAGAATACTTACTTTTTCTGTTTTTACAATTATATGTGGAATAGTTATTATAATTATTTAATTACATATTGAACAATGACGGAAGAGAAAAGCTACTATATTACTTAGATAACTAAACAACAAAGTTTCAACATTGCTTATTATCAATTGGTTGCTCTTGAACGTTGAACCAGAAATGAAGGGAAAAATCAATAATAGTTTTAGGGAATAAATTAACTTGAGCTATTTGTAATTTTGGCAGATGAAATCATCTCTACTTCATTCTTCACTCACACTCATATATTCCTCAAACAAGCGTGAATTAAATGATGCAATTTACCACTACATCTAGCCCTTGATTGAAGACAAAATTGCTCCGTTAGAGCACAACAGTCTTAGATTACAAAGATCAGGATCAGAATTTAATTTGCCAAAAGCCATGATACTTTATCAAAAATAAGCTGCAGCCTGATCCCAGAGTTTATGTAACCTCACATAAAAAGTGAAACAACATACAGAAACAGCAAATTGACTGACAAAAATCCAGCTGAAGTTTGAAAAGTTTGATACACCACTGTAACTCTGTGTCACACCCACTACGTGATTTGCTTAAAAAAACATAGTCCCCTTGCACAAAGACTAAAATGCATGTTATCCGTACCTTATCATGGTGCTATATCCTTTTCCAGGATAAAATCCCAGCTCAGAGCTACACACTATAAAAACACATGTGTAAAGAGAAGCTTTTGGTTTTTTTATTAGCATGATGGGTTTTTTATTAGCATGATCCTTCTCAGTCTGCTTTCTTTGAAGACAATTAAAATCTCTATGACCTGCCTATACCCAGAAACTCTCAAGGGAAATAAAGAGTATGCAACACAACTGAGAAGTACCACAGGCCCTGATTAGGTTCATCCTTTTTGTGGAGAGTATCCAGAGGCCATTGCTACATATGTAGAGCTTGTCTGCATCGGCACACCATTCCTTCTTTGCTTCTTAAATAAACCTAAATTATTTATGTGGTGGAAATATCATGGAAGAAAGGAAGGGACAGAGCACATCAAGGAGGCACCAGGATGGAGGAGAGAAACCATAATCAGGGGGCTGGTTGGTTTGCTTTTTCTGCTACAAATTATATAACTTTGACCTCTCATTCATATGCTGTCCATTTTTTCTGCATGAGGCCTGGTTCAGCATATGGTTATGCGCTGCAGCGGTTCATGTTAGAAAGACCTAACATTCACAAGCTGAGTAAACGCACAGACTTCTCAATTTACAACAACCTAATCCAGTCAAGCATACCAATACTTAATACTTTATAATATTTACTTTAGAAGGCTCTAAACCTAACACAAGCTATTAGAGCTTTTTTAACTGATGAATCACAAACATTAGAGACTTCAATCTACTAACTTTTTTGTTCTTTTAGAGCAGTATACCTTGATTTCCATAAACATATAAAACTAGTTTATTATAGAGATGTATCTGGTCTGGAATATGGTACCATTTAATGAAGCAAGGAGAAACAAAAAGCTAGGAAAAACTTTTATCATCAGGAGCAATATACGTGGGAAAAAAACCTGACAAAAAATAGCAGTAGGATAATTTATTGGAATTAAATAAAACATGATTTTTTTATCATATTTGGTAGCATATGGAATAGTTACAAGCAAATAAATACAAATAGGGTCATTGGCACATAAAAGTAATGCCCTCTACTCATTTTTACGTAGTTACTTGGTATATTAGGACTTCAGAGGATCATTCTGCTAGATTCATTTAAAACCTCTCCCTAATCCCAGGCAAAAAAGTTCTTTTTCTCTTCAAAAGGACCTAAAGAAATAAAATTTCTTTTGTTCTCTGCGTACAGATAAAGATAAATAAAACTATGTCATGTAACCACTCTCTCTCTCTATAAAAACCTTTATCAACATATGAATATTGTAAGACCAGTTCTGAATCCACTGTATGCATACAGATACAGGATGCATACATACAGCTTGAAATACATTTGCAGCACTTTCCAGCTCCCTAGTGCTAAGCCTCCCTAGTAATATAGACAATGGGATTTAAAACGATATGAATGGTGTTTTTTACACAGTATTTAATTGTCAAGTTCCCATTTTATAAAGAAATAAAAACACAGCTTGAACTTCATTTCCTTTTCCATGTGCAGAGTTCACTACATCTTTTTTTTCTTTCCTATAACAGATTAAATTTTTTTCATTCTTTTCCTTTCCCCTTTTTATCCCCTAAAATGTTTCTGAGCTCTTATCTTTCATTTATTGTTATTTTCCCAATATTTTTAATAACCTATCTTTCTTGTTTTCTTTTTTCCTCTCTGTCCCTCCATCCTGCTCTCATCTGTGCCCTAAAGCATTCACATTCCTCATTTTCCACCAAAGACAGCCATACTAAGGTAATTCATACCATCCTCTTTGCACGTCTTCCAAAAAGAGGAGGAAGCTGCAGGATTTCTTCATTCTTTAGCCTCTTGCTTAGCTCATTTTCACATTTGAAATTCCCACTTACAATTTAAAACCATTACTCTTACAAATATAATTGTTTTTCTTTTAATTCATATGTGCAATAAAGACATTTTATAGGTCCAGACAGTAAAATGTTTTTATAACACAATATATTCATCTTTATTTCATTGTTCTTCTTCTTATACTTACTAAAATACATACCTGTGCAAATCTCTTCTGTTTCATCATCTATGCATTCTCTGTCATCACATTCACAAAATTTACCATAGACCAGTCCATTCCCTTCTGAGTTCACACATTTACACCTGCCACACTGACATGTGCCTGTAAACATTTAAGACCATACTCAGCCACTGCAATTTAATGAAAGACTTTCATTGGCTTATCAGGGATCGTATACATTTTACTTCTGAACAGGCTGAAATCTAAAGATAATTCAGAAAAATAAAGAAAGGAAAAAAACCATAAATAACCCATATCAATAAAAATTGTAAGTAAATACTTATCTGTAAGTAAATACAACATTAAAGTGACTCACTCATAGCAAGCAGTTTCCCAGGTAAAATTCACTCCTAGAGTTGTCTATGTGACTTCATACACCTGAGGCACAAAGCTTTGGAAATTATATCTTCAACCCACTGAAAGGAGAAAATTGAACTTAATCGTCCTCTCAAGGATGAAGTCTGATTTTGTTCACCTCCACAGCCATATTATGTGAGGCGAACATGACATGGCTATTGAGGTTCTTAAAATATATTTGGGTGAAGTCACAAAGTTCCCTTGAACTCCAGTTTCCAGCCCCTTTTCTACAACTATCATATGAGGAATAAGACTTAAAAACAGAGAAAAATTCAGGAGTCAAATGAGGGAAATGTTGGTGAGGAACATCTCCATGAAGAACTTACTTATGATCAGATGTCAGGAAAAAATGACTCAACCTAGAAAGCAATTGTCACAGCAATACATTTAATTGGACAATAGGTAAGCTAACTGCAGTGAAATATATTTGTAGCATCATTAAAAAACATAAGTAATATAATAGCATACCAACAGAAACACCACGCTGTTCAGTTTTACTGTAAAATGCGTATTATAAACCAGGATTAAACAGCCAATTCCCTGATATTTACTGAAACTCTTGATATAGCATTCTTCACTTACGTTTTCCTGTAGTTTTCACCAACCACTTGCTGTTTGCACACTATTAGCTTCTTTTTTCCAGATACTGATACTGATGTCCAGACTCTGGACATCTCTCTCTGAAGAATTATAGGGACAGCTACAATAAAATAACATCTTGCTGTTTCAGGACTTGAATCTAATTTAACTTTAAGCTTTTAGGGTTCATTGTTCTTCACTTTTTGGGTAATGTCTCAGAAGAAGTTACGGCTTGCAGGAAGGTAGAGATATAATAAGACATATGCTGACTTATCACTACAGCAGGACAAACAACTTACAAATTGAAAGGGTTTATACAGCAAAAGTAGGATGTGTTTGTCCCACATGAGACAAGCTAGTGGTTTGACATGGGTCAGCCTGCAACTTTCCCTTGATATAAGCACCCTCAAGACGCCCAAATGCTTTAGAAACCCAGAGCTGGATTTTCTTAGAATATAAAGCAGAACAGAAAACTTTCTGACATAAATAACCCCCTAGCTCTTAGACAAAGAATAGAAAGAGGGTTGTAAACAGACCCTTCTGTCACCTCTGATCTTGGTCACACGTTTGCTTCTTGGCCTTTTTACTAAGGTCCTGTTGCCTCACCTCAGCAGCTGCCTTTCTTCATAACCCACCCTCCAAAACAGGAGAGTCTTTTTTTTTCTTGCTCCCGTGGAAAAGAGCAATCACCTCTTTTCCCTCAGAGATTCCACCTGACCTGGAATGTGGTTGCCACGACAAAACCAAAGACTGATGTCTTCTCTGCCAGCAGAATATATTATGTTTTAAAGGAACATAATGCACGATAATGAATAAAAGCTGTGAATAAACAGTTATAAAGAGTTATATGGTCACAAAATAACAAAAATACCATAAAATGACATCAGAAGCAAACATATTATCATTCTGATTGTATGGGACACCCCTTTTCCCTACCTTTATCACCTTTATTGAAATTGGACAGACAGGACCTTTGTGCAACATCATATTTAACTAGGGGCCTGCTGTCAATGGACCTGTAGATTCTGTTTCCACCGTTGCTGGTGTGCCAGAAAGTATAAATTTTAAAAAAAGATATGGGGACATAATTCAGAAGATTCATACTCCTTGTTGCATACATATACACATTCTAGCAAACAAAGTTACTGAAAAAAGCCCTCCAAAACAGAAACTTTATGCTAATATTATATAACTAGTTTGCAGAAACCATTTTAAATTTTAGCATTACAAGTATTCACAATACAAGTTTTACTAACTATAACATTTATCCAGATAAAGAACAGAAGAAGAGGGCTCCGTGGCATACATGACCAATCTGAAAAAGTTAACTCTAAAAAATGCTTGCAGGAGCTAAAAAAATAAAATAACATTATAACTAATAGTGTCAATAAGCTACAGAACTAGAAATACTTACTGCAACTACTTGGAAAATAAATATAAATAAAAATTTTGAAAAAATGAATTGTCTATGGATAATTCACAGAGAACAAGATAAAATTTTAAAACGATTCAAAAATTGGACATCTAAAGAGGTCAGACAGACTGTATCCTAAAAGTGCCTATTTCTCCCCATAGAAATGGAAATTACTCACACAGATAATCTAAGTTTAGGTAGGATGAGTCTTGCCCTAGTTGTTCTGACATCTGATTAGAAGTAGTTGGGTCAGGAAAGCTAATTTTAAGATGGATCTTGGTCAGTTCATGAAAGGAATTGCAATAAACGATTCGCTGTGATAGCTGTGACAACAGCCCACATCATCCCTTCATGTCTTTTATTGTCAATTTAAAAAGAAAGTTCAGATCTCAAAAGCAATCACGGCAGTAGCTCAAAAGGCAATCCCATCAAGACAGCCTGTCAACAAAATGTGGTTACAGCTTATTGAAGTTACCCCAAACTGCCTAACCAGTCTCATTGTAGTTTCTTCCCTGTCTAATACAAACAAAACCAAAAACATTTACATTCTTGTCCTCATCCCACAAAATACGGACCTTTTAATCACTTTTAGTGGTTGCTCAGTTAGTTCGGTTTTCCTGTGAATCACAGATTTTCAGAATCACAGAATCGTTTAGGTTGGAAGGGACCTCTGCAGATCAGCTAGTCCAACCTCCCTGCTCAAGCAGGGTCCTCTAGAGCACATTGCCCAGGATCGCGTCCAGACGGGTTTTGAATATCTCCAGCGAAGGAGACTCCACCACCTCTCTGGGCTACCTGTTCCAGTGCTCTGTCACCCTCACAGGGAAGAAGTTTTTTCTCAGGTTCAGATGGAACTGCCTGTGGTTCAGTTTCTGCCCGTTGCCTCTTGTCCTGTCACTGGGCACCACGGAGAAGAGGCTGGCCTCAT